CTACAACTTTGCTTTCACATGTGGAACAGAAATGGGGGCTCAGATAAAAGGGATTTGGTGTGAATGGATCTGAATTCACCTAGAAAATAGAATAGGAAATTGTATGATATTTCTATATATATTTTTTATTTAGTCTTTCCTTCAGACATCAATTGTCTCAACAATTGAAGTGAAACTATGTATTAAGAGCCTTTCCTTTATGTAATGCTTTATACAGAGTATTTTTTGGCTAGAATGCCCTATTGTTTGTCACCTACTCCAAGGAGCCAAAAGAAATTTTCTTATGGTATGGGTCCTGTATAATTTTGAGGAGTACAGAAAGCTATCAAGAATTATGTCCCACTCAAGCATATTTTCCCTCATCCTTTTCCTTCCCTCTGACAAAGGTTAAAAGGTCTTTTGGATCGGGAGAAAGAAGAACTGGCAGAAGCTGAAGTTATCAAAGACTCCCCTGATTCTCCTGAGCCCCCCAACAAAAAGCCTCTCATTACAATGGATGAAATGCCCACAGTTGAAAAGGCAAAAGGTAAACCAGAACAATTGCAACAGATTATTTCTTTTAAAGGTAGATGCTGTTGAATCAGTCTGTGTTTTCTAAAGTAATGATGTGAATCATTTTGGAATTAAAGCTAAGTCAGTGAAGATCACGTTTAGCTGTTTAGAAATTCTTGGAAAACATGTTAACCTCACCAGGTCTGTGAAGAAAGGGAGATACCAAGACACTGTGTGGGTCTGCTTATCAACTCTTGGGTTGACAGGGGGTAGGCCAAGTTCCTGCTGGTGCTTTCTGAGCTGGTCTAAGTGAGAAATGCTGTTTGAGGGCAGGTATCAGAAATCACTGTCTCCCGCTGATAATTAATCAACTTGCCTAAGCAGTGCAGTTGTCAGAATGGGCAGTTCTCACTGACTTCTCTTCCTTGGTGTGAGTAATTTTCTATCACAGTGGCTGAACTGATGCTGAGATTCTGCATTTAAAGCAGAGTCCATATCATGTGCAGCAACTCCTCAGCCATTATCACTTTGCATATTTTCTATTTATTTTGCCCCTGTTTTAGGTTTGTTTAATGTTAGTGGTTTTAATGTGTTGTATTACCATAATCTGTAATTTCTTTAAGATGTTGTAATGATGTAATGTTAATTCAAAAATTTCATCGCTTAGACTCTTTTTACTTACAATTTCAGGGCCAATGTCTTTGTTGTCTTTATGGAGCAACAGAATTAATACTGCCAACTCTAGGAAACACCAGGAATTTATTGGTCGGTTGAACTCTGTCAACAACAAAGCTGAGCTATATCAACATCTGAAAGAAGAAAATGGGTGTGTATCAGGAAATGCATCACTACCCATATCTTGTCAGTAGTCAGCGTGGAGCTTACAGCATTAGATACTGTTCTTTTGATGATTAAAATACCTAAATACATTCCTTTGCTTTTCAACATTGATAGAGAACCACAGCAGTGTTTGATTTTCTGTTTTTCATCTGTGCTGAGCGAGCCTGACTGCTGAGAGCTGGGCTTCCCTGGGCTTCAGGGATTGCCCCTACAGCAAAACGCTTATTAAATCTTAGGGAGTTAAACAGTAGCTGAGATTTTCTGCTTGCTGTAGCTTCCAAAGGAATGGCTGATACAGAAATATTGTTGGTAATAAATGATTGAATCTTAGGCTGTGCTGTAATGGAAGTTGACAGTGGTCCGTGTTCTACAAAAAGTACTGGAAAACTAAACCAGCCTCCTGTGAAGGAAATCAGATGGTGGTAGACAATAATTAGTGTAAGAGGGGTGCAAATTAAGCCTTTGGAACAAATGGCCAAAGCTTAAGTTTTCAAAACGGATTCTCCAGTCACATGAACATTTTGTATTTTGGTGAAGTTGATAACAGATGGTTTTTCACAGCATCTCTGCAGAAACCTTTCCTTCACATACGGACTGCTGCTTAAAGAAGTATTTAGAGGAGATAAGATTGCTTACATTAGGGTAGGGAGAGACAGGACAGTTAGTGAAGTAAAAAATATGAAGTCATTTAAATCTGATTTTTTTTAAACTGTTGATTGTTCTTACGGTAATAGCCAATTGTTGTCTTGCCTTTCAGAATGGAAGCAACAGAAAATGGAAAAGCAGGCCGACAGTGAGGATTAATTCTGTTTCTTGGGAGAAAATTTGGCCAAATTGCAAAAATATTTAATGCTGGAATTGCATTTGGTACTGTTTCAATACAACTGTATAGTTCTGGTTTGATTGGTTTTTACATTTTTTCTAGTCCTATTTTTGCTATGAAGTATGAAATCTGTATATCACGTTAAACCAGCTGTGTGCAAATAGGAGCTGTCCTGAAGCGTTTTCCAGTCATGCTTTCAGATGAAGACAACCTCTGCTGCCATGGAGTAAATCAAGTAATTAAAAACATTAGTCAGCTTCAAGTCCTTGCCCAGAAGTATTGGATACTGTTTCAAAATCAATGATGACTGTCTAAAAAAAAAATAAAATTTAAATTCAAGTGATTTATAATAAGCTGATAACATCATTAATTGTTTCATGGTTACCTTTTATTTATATGAGGATTCCTCAGGAGCTCAGAATTATGGAAAAGACCGCACACCGAGTACCCAGACACTGAGCTGAGAGAGTGCCAGTCTTGGTTTTCATCTGAGGGGTGGGAGGGTGAAGGGTTTTACAAATAAAAATTGTTGGTTTAAGGACTTTCAAAAAATAGAAGAGAAATGGTCTTTAGAAAGCAAAACCTTTCAGGTTGTTGTGTTGGAGTTGAGCTTTGTAAGCAAAAGTACAATAAAGTTTTTTGCTAATAATTATTTTTTGATGAAGTGTGTTCTGTAAAATACTTGTGGTTACAGGTCTGAGAGACTGAGTATGAATGGCTGTGAATGAAAAAGTAGGTAATCTGTCTTCAGTTTCTTTGAGTAGAACCTCTTTCACTGGGGAGTAGAATTCTCAACTGGGAAAACTCGTCCAATGTCTGTGATCTGAGCCCTTGTCAGATTTTGAGTTGTCTTCCACATGGGCTAAGGAAAGATGAATTCCTGAGCTCTCCCAAGTGTGTCAGCCTTCCTCTGATCTGCATCCGGCTTCTGTAAGCAACTGAAGGGCTCACAGATTAGATATCTTAAAGTTGATTTGAGACACATCTTTGAAATTTTCTGAAACTAAATCAGTATATTCACCTGCAACTTTAAATACCATAGTTCATGATGTATAGATCTGGACACAAATATTCTTCACTTAACATTTGTGACTGAGTCCTTTATTCAGCTCTGCTAAAGTACCAGGAATGATTTCAAGGTGATTATTCAACCACTCTGATGCAGGTGTGTTTTCTGTAAAATGATTTTAGAACCATTTTTGCTGAGTGATTAAATACTACTTGCATGGTAATATTTTCTATCATATTGTAAAATATTTTTAGCTTTCACAGAAGCAATGTGTAACTTGCAGACCCTAGTCTGAAGACTTTTATTGCTTATATTTTTACTACTTCATTGAAAAAAGAATGTCCTGCATCACCACATCTCTGGATAACCTAGCTGAAATGTTTTGATGGAGAAAAAGGCCACAAAATTACTGCTTCTCATAACTTTCTAGGTTGTTTTAATGAGATTTTACTGCATATTACTCTGGATGTTTCTCTTGTTTACTAGAGGAACTTTTAAGTCTATAAGCTGGGGAGCATGTAAATGTCAGGTCTGCAATTTGCTAGGCTGGAGAGTTAGAGCTGAAAATCTCATCCTGTGCCTTGGATTGTGTGTTACATCTCCTCATGTGCCATTAATATTCAGCTGCACTCCTTGAAAATATGCACAGGAATTAAATATTTCATTAGCAGAAGAGAAATTTAATAGCACCTGCTATTAAAATATGTGTTTGTTTGGTTTGTTTACTAACTCCGTTCTCCACAGTTGGAGCATCTGCCAGGTAAGCATCACCAGACTGGTTGGTGATGAGTAGAGTCTGGTGACTGTGGATCTGTATTTCACGTGCTTTAAGAGTCTCACAGGGACACAAGAGACTGCAAGGGTTGATCTTTGCAGTTCTGGAAACAGTATTCCATACTCTGCTGTCCTGCATAGTGGCGCTAGTGCTGCTTGGCTCCTATTTCACACTCAGCTTTCAAGTTTAGGAAGGTTTTGTCAGTTCTAAAAAGAGCTTAAGTAGCTTAATCTGTAATTATGTGATTGCAAAATGCACTTCATAATTAAATTATGGATTGCATTTTGTATATGATAATCTATTAAACTGTAAGGATTTCAAAGTGTTTAAAAAGTCCTCAGAAATTCTTTCACAGAACTTCAGGAATTCTCTGCTGTCTTAGAACTGTCCCAGGTGGAAGCAGACAAGAGACAGTTTTACTGTAAAGAAGGCAAGCCTGGAGCTTTAAAATGTATCTTTAAAGGTACATTGTGCCAAATTACCTAGCAGGAAGAGGTCAGTAGCTACTATTGCCTCTAGAAATGCTAAATCTAGAATATGATGTGTTTATAGAAACATTTTAAAAAGTTTTGAAAGACTAAAAGGACAGAGACAATGTCAGGCATTTTTAAAAAATTCTAAAATTCCTAGATGCCCTAGAACCACTGAGCTTGTGGCACCTCTGAATTTCAATGGAATCATGTTTTGTGGTGATTCTTCTGTGACAGTTCTGCCTCTTCTGTGTAAAATGTATATTTGAGTCAGGGAGACATAATGGAGTGCAATTTGCTCAGCACTGACTGTGGCCCCTTGTTCCCACCAGCATCAGCTTGATGTGTATTTTCTTGTCCTGACTTTCACAGGACTTTCCTACCCTTTCAGCAGGCAGTGCCTTTGCCTGCTTCACTTGGATACTACTTTTGCCACTGCCTCTTTGTCAGATGTAAGTCAAATCCTATTGTAAATCAAAACATAGTAAAAATCACTAACTGCCTGTTTATGTTGGTTTTTTGTGAGTGTTAAGGATAGCACCTTGTAATGCAATTTGTCTTTTTGTAGAATTGCTCTTAATACCGTTTAATTTAAGACTTAAGCCTCTGGATGTTGCCCTGGTTGTGGTGGGTGGTCAGAGCATCTGGGTAGTGGGGAGGGAGTCGGTATTTTGGTGGCTGGATAGGTGTTACGATGTGAGGGATCGTCCTGGCACTCTGCTCATGGGAGGGAAGTGGTCCTGAAGGTGGGATCCATAACGGAGGTGAAAGTGAAGCCCTGCACTCGTGTACAGGGACTTTGCGAGGTCTCAGGGCATCCAGTTCCACATTAGTGTGGCTTAGCTGGGAGTTTGTCTGAAGCATCACAGGCTGTGCTCCAGGAATCCTCCTGGGACACCTGCAAAGCCAGCAGACCACTATTGCCAGCCCCACACCAGCAGTGGCAAAAACACTGCTCAGTAAGGCACGGGGGCTCCGCATCTTGGAGTCGTTCTTGGCTTGGAGTGTCGGCCCAGTGCTGCTGCAAGGCCTGAGGAACGGCTTTGTGCTGGCTGGGCAGTCCTCAGTGTAGGAAATGCCGAAAGTCACATCGATTCTGTACTCTGGCAGCATTGCTTGGACAAACTGTGGGCTCACAGACCCAGCTGGCACTCTCAGTTTCTCCAGTGCCTGCTGGATTTCGTCTTTCCCGCACCAGCTGGAAGATCTGTTGGCACTTACACACAGCGAGCTGTTGTACCAGGAGATGAGCGTGGAGCCGGGCTGGAGAGCTGTCAGCACAATGTCCTTGCGGCTCCTGGAGTTCAGGAAGAGGGAGAGCTTCTCCAGGAACAAACCCACCCTTTTCCTCTCCCTCAGGAAAGAGGAGTAGCTGTTCTTGGTCCGCACAGTGAAGAGGTGGCACGGTAGCTCGGAAGGCTTCAGGAGCTCGATGGTGAAGGATTGCCAGGCTGTCAGACCTCCGGAATCTGTGGCAGACAGCACAAACTCCTGAGGGGAATACTGGAAGTCCATCTCTAGGGGATAGCCGTGCATGGCCTGCTGGGAGCTGTTAAACTGCAGCCAGCTCGTGGATCCCGACAGAGAGCCATCAGCTGGGAGGATTTCTAGGGATAACTGAGTGGAGTTGCCGTCTTCCTTGTCATAAAATGTGTTGGCAGGTATAGGGAAAAAGAACAGGCATCCGATGGTTGCTGTTAGGAATTTAATGGAATGAACAACCTTTGGGGAAGTGTTTGCTTGCCCTTTAGAGAGGAGGGAGAAAAGGGAGGGAAAGAATTAGGAGGAAAATACTGCTATCTCTTGCTGAGTGATGGCAGAGAAATCTTGTCAGTCTCAGGGTTATGGAGTGTACTGAAACTGAAACTGAAACTTTTATCAGTAAAGTCTTATCCTTGATCACATCTTAACCTCATTTGTTAAGCATATTTAATACCTGTCTACTTAAAGAGTTATAAATATCCTCAATGCTGTTTTGTCTAGTTCAAAATATCAGTTAGGTCTTGTATAGCCCCTTCCCAATCAATAACATCTAATTCTAGTAACATTTACACAAAAATACCACAACATGTACTGTTTCATCTTCTATTTCCAACATTAACCACAGATTTTTTTGGGAGGGGGGATTTTATGACTATGGATGCTTGGGATGGGATTCCTGTGAGTGCTTCACATCTGCCTGGTTTGAAGAGTTCCAGAGAATTTGGGAGCAGACACCAGGTAAGCTGGAAGATAATAAAGTGTGGGGACAAATTTGGAAGGAAATCTCCCTGTGACTGTCAGGTGAAGTTTGCTGCCAGGCTCAAGGAGTGAAGGATCAGAACATGGAGTTCCTGCAGCATGTGACAAAAGTGGTCATAAGCTCTCTTCCTGCCGTTTCTGGATCTTGTGTACTTGTGCTTTCTACACTTTATGGCAAGGACTAGTAAAATCATCCTGTATTATCCTCTCCTTGTATATTACCTAATGTAAATATTAGGGAGGGACGAATTGAGGACACAAATATTTTGGTCATGATAATCTGAGGACTGCATGGGTTCTGGTACAGGAAACCTAAGAAACAGAGACACCTTGCAGGGTGGATAAAAAGGTGGATGGCAGCTGTGTTCAGAAGCTGTGTTACAGAAAAGTAAACTTGTTTTTACCTTGGGTTACTGTCTGCAGCTCTTGTGAAGCAGAAAATGGAGGAAGAATCCACCCACTTTCCACAAAATGTAGTCTTTCAGATGAGGGAAACAGCCGGGTGCTTGGATCCAGGTGTGATGGCAGCAGTGTCTCACCCACCTCTGTGAAAGTGAGATCATTACAGTTTAAGGTGAAAGATCATTTAGATCTATGTAAAAGGAATCTTACGTCAATAATGTGTTACAGGGTTGGGAATGCAGTTTGAAAGCTTTTATGGTATGAGATTAAAGACCTATGTCAGTTTCTGCCAGCACAGGAAGGACCATGGGAAGCAGGCTGGAGTTCAGCCTCCCCTTTAAAAAATGAGGGAATGCAAGTGGCTTTTATCTCTGGACAGGAAAGATTATTATTATTATTATTATTTTAAATGTTTCTACATGGCCTGTACTTGCAAGAGCACTAATAACAATTATGTGTTAGGGCTGTATTGTCCATCTGTGGGCTTTGACAGATCACAGAATAGACTAGGTTGGAAAGGACCTTAAAGATCATCCAGTTCCAACCCCTGCCATGGGCAGGGACACCTTCCACTATCCCAGCTTGCTCAGAGCCCCATCCAGCCTGGCCTTGGACACGGCCAGAGACCCAGGGGCAGCCACAGCTTCTCTGGGCAACCTGTGCCAGGGCCTCAGCACCCTCACAGGAAAACATTTCTTCCTCATATCCAATCTAAACCTTCTCTCTGTCAGTTTGAAGCCATTCCCTTGTCCTGTCACACCCCATATGCTCTTGTAAAATAGTCTCTCTCCATATGATGCTTGCTGGGACACCAGATTGCAAACCTAAATACCTCAGTCTGCAGACTTAGGCTTTGGGTACAGACTTAAAGCAGGTCTAATAAAGGTTTACAAATAAGATGGCTCTGAAGGCTCTGAATTCTGCACTTCATAACTGTTTAAAATCTACCATGTGTACATTTTTACAGATTTAAGGTAAGGTGATTAAGGCATAATCCCACAAATGTACCCAACTGGCACTACAAACAAACCATCTTTATTTGTCTACTATACACTTCAGCCAGTCACAGATTCATGCAGTTGGAGAAGGCACACTAAAAAGTGCATCTGGCCTAATGTGTTACTCCAAAGGACACTCTACTATTTCTGTGTCATTTTTTATAAATATTTATTGTTCAGTCCTTAAAAACCCTCCTCAATGTTCTTCAAGCATCTTTTCTAATGCTTTATCATCCTTACTATGAGAAAGTTTATCTAATGTCTAACTTAAATCATCTTAACTGCACTTGAACGTCATTAGTGCTGTGTTAGCTCCCAGGGGATTCTGAGAAAGCACCTCTCATCTTTTAAGCAAAATATTTTACAAACCCATGTATTTTCTGTCTTCTAGATAAATTATTTCAGTTTGACATGTTTTCTAGACCTCTGACCATCCTTGTGTTCCTTTGGAGCTTTTTTAAGGATTCATATCTTTCCTTGGATAGGATGGTCAAAGCTGGGCCTGATCATTCAGCTGAGCTGTTATCTGGTCCCAGCTAAGCAAAAAAAATTGCATTTTCTCATTGGGAAGACTGCTGCTGGCACATGCCTAGTGCAGGGAAGTTGTGCTTTTGCATTAGAAACTGTATTGAACTATTCTGGCAGGACTCGGGGCAGGAAAGAGGAAAAAAGAAAGTCAAATCTTAAACGTACTTGGTATGCTGCTGGGCAGGTGAGAGGTGGCATTAAATAAAGTCACCAGAGGTGCTTCTACAGCATCTGGCTTGATGCCTGAAATGCTGTGAGACTCCAAGGTAGGTTCAGTGACATTTGGCAAAATCCCACTTGTGTCCAGGTCTTTGTCTGAAAGCAATTCCTCTGTGCCACTGGGTAGAATCCTTGTGGGTTGTGCCTCTGTTCTGAGCATGCTGCTGCTGTAAGGAGGAAATGTATTTGCTGGTCTGGATAGCCTGGACATGTGAAAGGCAGAAAAGTCTTCTAGCACAGTAAGGACTGGAGTGGTGTCAGCGTGGGACAGAGTGATCAGACTTGGTTCATGAGGTGCTTCAGTTTTACCAGGGACAGGGCTGGTTAATGTGTGAGGAAAGCTAGCTGAGCTAGCTTCAGCACTGAAAATCAATTTGGAATAGAGGGTCTGTGCTTCTCTTTGGGCCACAGAAGAAGCTGTGCTTTTCCCTCCATCAAATGAAAAGCCACTGGGCTGTGGGATAGTCATAGAAGGTTTAGATTGAGGTTCACAGCCATTAGTGAACACTTGGCTCAGACTGCTGCTTGCTAGGACAGCTGGGAATGTGTCCTTGATGGGAGATATGAAGCCAGACAAAGTTGTGGCCCTCACTGAAGCTTCTTGGAATAGTGAAGGGAGTGCTTCTGGACAGAGGGTTGCATCAGAAAACTTTTCAAGTTCTGAAAAGTGGCTTTCTGCCTCATTGCTGTAATCTGGCACTTCCGATACTGACATTGATTCTGGCAAAAATGGGTGTAATTCTGTCTTGGGAGAAAATTCCACTGCTGAGCTGTGAGGCCACTCTTGAATAGTATTTATCACCCATGGCCTGGAAAGCTGCTCTGTGCCTGAAGTGATGTCCTCTAGGAGATGGTATGTGGATATCTCTGATTTACTGGAAAGGAAATAGGAGTCTACCTCAGGCATTGGAGACTCTGGCTGCTCTAACATCAACCATGTACCAGAAGCTCTAGCAGGCAGCACTTCCAGTTCAGAGAAGAGAAGCCTCGTTTTAGTCATCAGTGAAGGTGAAAGATCTGGAAAATGAGAGTCTGCAAACATAATGGGTACTGTGGGGTTAGTTGGCATGTCCTGTGCTGAGTCCATTTCTAAGGTGACCAAGCTTTCCTGACTTACAAGGTGGATATCATTCTGCATCTTGTAACTTGCCATGGTTATACTTTCTGCACAGAAAGTTGATAAGCTCTGAGTAGGTGATAGCACAAGTGGTGTGAGTAATTGGCTTGGCACAGGAAAGAACAAAGGTCTGGAAGCCTCTCCTGCAGCTGGTCTCTGGATAATTCTAGTTGGTTTTAATGCAGGTGTTGGTGTGATCATTAATTGCCTGCGGTGTAGTCTTGGAGACTTTCTTTCATACTCCCCTCTCCTGAGTATTCTCCAGCCTGCAATTTCATACCCTAGCAGCTGTGAGAGGTGATGTGAGTTCATGTTGTGCTGCAAGACCTGGATGAATTCACGGAGCAGGGCAAAGCCCCCACACGTGACGGGCCAGGAGAGCCCCACGTAGTGGTTGGTGTTGAGGTTGATGTGCCCAGTGTCCTCAGCCAGGACATGTGAGCCCCTGGCTGCTGGGCCTGTGTGCTGCAGCAGGGTCAGCAGGGAACTGTCCAGGTGCAGGTACTCTGCCATCCTGCACACCACAGACAGGCGCTCCCGAACTTCCAGGGCTGCTGCTCCAGCAGAGAGAATGATTTCAGCATAAGTGATGGGAGCTTCCTTCCCACACCTGACATTGAAAGTCCAGAATTAGAGTGGTTAAGAGTAATTCTTTTTACCCCTCCCTGTTTTTGTGAAGATCTGTTTGAATTTTGTCAATCATTGCTCAAAATTTTACCTCTTAATCCAAAACTTCCTTCTCCTTGAATATATGAATGTTCCAAATTCCACTAACTTCACTGATTGCTAAGTTTGATCCAACTGCTTGTGCAGAACACAGCAGCATGGGCTGAATTTTCCAAATGCTGTCCTCATTGTGGAAGTAATTCACTTTAGAGATATTCCCAGTCTGTTAGACATCAAATGTAGGTACTTACACTAAGAAAGTACCATCAAAGGTAACAAACAGTGTCTTGTGGAGGCAATTTGGAGCCTCACTGGGTGCCTGCCTCTCTCCCTGCTCACAGAAGAGTTAGGAACTGGAGCAGGGAGGCTGGATGCCACCTGTACAATGGAGAATCAATGTCCCTGTGCTGCAGGGCTTGCAGTCTTCCTGCCCATGTTTGCTGTGCACTGTTGCTCTGGGACAACCAAGCCCCCTGCTTTTATATTCAACACGCACTTGTTCAATATTTTGTGGGGTTTTGTTTTGGTTTAGTTTCCCTGATGTCACATTTCCACAGCAGGAAGAAACCTGCCCAGTGGCAATTAGGGAGCACCCCATCTCTTTTTCTGAAAAATACCATTTTTTTCTCCCCTCACTGATTAGAGCAGAAGCCATGGAGGCCAGCAGTACTCACCTGTAGCTGTTTGGCATGTGTTTCAAGCTCTGCATTTCCAAGGATAAACTGCTGTCCTTCACATGGATGGTGAAATTTCCAGCAGCCCTCAGTGTTTCCTGGTCAGGGTCCCCTCCAGAGGCAGCAAGGTTGAGCAGGTACGCTCCTCCCTCCCCTGCCATTGGCAGCCCTTGCAGCATGTTTGTTTTGGGGCTGAATTCCAACCATTTTGGCAAATCTGCACCACTGGCTAAAGTGACCTGCTCCGTTAGAGGATGGCAGAGAAACAGAATTTGTGATAAGAAATGGTGTTACTACTGCAGTTTTACATACTGTAAGCTCTAGCTGGACAAAAGTTCAGAAACGGGCACAACTGATCTTTTGAAAATCCTAGAAACCACAGAGCCTTGGCTTTTCGTGTAGTACTTGTTCTGGGTGTTTTTTAGCATAGTGGCAACACTTTATGTCCATTTTCAAGACCCTGCATTCTTTACACAGCTGGTAGATAAAACATGTATGTAGGTTGTTTATTTCTAGGGAACTGCTTCATTGGCAGGTGAATGATGGTGAGATTTTTGCTATCAGTTCTACCTGTTTCTAGTACATCTGAGGCACTTTCTAGAAGGAGATTTTTAGTGAGTTCCCTTTAAACCTAAAGTGAATGTCTTTGCTGCAGGATTGTACCAGGAAATGTACTGAATAGCATTACCTTGTACTGAGTTATCCTTCCCTGAAAGGCAAACGCTGGCACTGGATAATAGAATATTTTTCCCATGAGGACAGTTGCATCTGGAATTATTCCTTGCGGGCTCTTTGTTTCTTCACATCTGTTATTCAATGCCTTGGCAACCTCAGCAGGGGAGCTCACACAGACAGACAGTGGCGCAAAGAGAAGAGGGAGCAGGGGCAAGATCCCCAGCCCTGGGAGCACAGGGGACCCTGAGGCAGGAGAGCTGTGCTGGGCATGCCCTGGGTCCCTGCAGTCATCTTCCATCCTCCTGCAGCACTGCCGGCAGCCGGGTGCTGCTACTGGAGCTGCAGGGTAAAGAGAAACCCAAACCCATGGGCATGTGCTCCTCAGATCAGCAAGCAGAACACTGCCAAATGTCTGAGGCTTCTCCTTGCATGGATTAAAGCTGGTCTCTTTGGGTCACAGAGACATTTGGGGAGGGCTCTGGGCTTTAAGAAGCCTCAGTACTCACCATTGCTGCTCTATTTGGCTGAAGGACTTCCATGGGCAAACATAAAATAGCACAAAGCTGCTTCATGATGCTTTTTAACCCAGCTGCCTTCAGTCTCGATGCTGCTCCCATCTCTGTCTCTGTTGTGATAAATGCCCACTAAGAGGTGAAATGCTACACCAGGGCCTCATCAGGGGGGGCCTGCAACATATGGCATAGGGCAGAGCCAGGTGAGCAGCGCAGTAACCTGACCTGCCAGGATTTTGTGGTGTAGTGATAACCAAGGGAAAGGTGAGTATGGCAAATGGCATTGATCACGGGGACAAAGGCAGGCTGAGACTCATCATCCTTTGCTCTGTAGCATCAAGGGCTGGAATTCGATTTGCTACTTTTGATTCTGCTTCTTCAAGAGAGGATAAAAGCAGAAATAAGGGCTCTCACAAACCTGAGTGGCCTCCAGCTTTTAGATGGGCAGTGCATACAAAATGCTTGGTCTGTCCTGCTTAGGATAGCTTTATTTAAAAGCATACAAGAGGAAAATAACATTTACTAGCCCAAATGATACAACTGAGAAAGCATGGATGATGTTTTGGAGCCAGACGACTGCGGCAGCAGGGCAGGGAGTGCTCCTTTCTTGGTACAGCTCTGACAGCAGGATGGCTTGAAAACCACAGCCTGCTTTGCTTTGGCCCTACAAACTCAGTGGCTGTTTATCAAGGAATCAGGTTCTGCTCTGCTGTTTTTTAACATGTATTTTCTTCCATCTGTTTGTAGATGTGTTTGTAGTAGTCACCAAGCTTTCTGTTGTGCTCTGTTGCACAGATCCTTTCCATTTTAGCCACAAGTGGAGCATGCTTTGGATAGAAAAAGAAGTGGTGATGCAAATTTTACAAAAAGACAAAAATAGTGTGATATCTGCCAAAAGACAATGATTTGCTAGAGCCTGCAGTGTGTTCCTATACTCTAGAAAAAACAGAAACCTGCTTGCCTTACTGATAGGTGTGCAGTGCTTGATGTCATTGTCTGCATTTGGCCAAAGATGAATCTTTATCCAGCAAAGTCTGTTTCCCTTGCAACCATGACTGGCTCTGAATAAATCAAAGGTTTGTGTTTCTTTGATTATGCTCAGCTGTGCTGAGAAGCAAGTTATTACGTTCACCTCTCCATTTTTCATGGTCAGCATCTCCCATGTTCCTTTCTCCTGCAATCCCTGAAAACAATGACAAGTCCTCATTCACCCCGTATGAAAAGAGGGAATAGGTGGTGAGGCAAAAGTTCAAGTTGGAGATGAGGACTTTTATTTAGGGAATGTCATTCTTATGCAAGGGAATGGGTGCTTGACAGCTGACTAATCCCTCCTAATGAATTTGCCTCCTGAGAGCTGAGTAAATATTGCCATGTAACCATGCATGAATCATCAGCATGCTCTGAAATGATGGGAATACTTGGTTGCTGTGAGCTGACAGTACTCCAAACCACCCCTGGAGGGGCAACATCTGCTCAGTTCAGGGATCCAAAGCCTATGGACACACCTTTGCTTCAGGTGAAGGAATGTCAGTGACTGTTCTACCTGTTTGGGTCCTGTCTCTCCTTAGTAACATTTGTCCTCCTGCCTTTGACAGCAGCTGATGTCATGTATTTACTCTGTAGTGTCAGGTGAGGCAGAATATTTTCACACTGCTTACTGTTGTGATGTTCTGGGTATAAACTTACTGAAACCTCACATAAATGTGCAACTGCTTAAAATAATCAGATTCTTAAAATTTCCCTGGAGCCTCCCTGTAATCTTCACAGTTGTATAATTACTGAGCTCATAATGAATTGTTCTTGCTAAATTGCAACAGAGGCACGTGACAGTCTGTTGGGTAAATGGCTTTTGATGAAAACAAAAATGAGAGCGGGAGAGAGACTTCATACAAGAGCACGTAGTAACAGGACCAGGGGAATGGCTTCAAACTGCAAGAGGGTGGGTTTAGATTGGATATGAGGAAGAAATTCTTCCCTGTGAGGGTGCTGAGGCCCTGGCACAGGTTGCCCAGAGAAGCTGTGGCTGCCCCTGGATCCCTGGCAGTGTCCAGAGCCAGGCTGGATGTGGCTCTGAGCAAGCTGGGATAGTGGAAGTTGTCCCTGCCCATGGCAGGGGTTGGAACTGGATGATCTTTAAGGTCTCTTTATGATTCTCTGAAACTCAAATGTTACTCTCTGTCTAAATGCAGGCAAACTTGGGAACAAATGTAGCTAATCTTTCCCACACTGAACCAAGGAATATCAAAAGTTTTATGGAATAACTTCATTCTCATGTGATTTCATGACCAGGGTGCAGAGATAAAGGTGGGCAACTGAATCAAACAGGATCTTTTGGGGTACCTGTAAGTACTTGTAAAGACAAAAATAACTTACTTATTTTGCTTCACTTCTAGCTTTAGACACTTTTTCCTGCAGGTGTGTGCTGCATTTATACAAATGTGATTCTGAAACTGGGGGAAGAAATACCCCTTAATCCTTATCTAAAACACCAAAGGACACAGCTGAAGGGTACACTATCTTCTGCTTTCTTTTCAGATGATCTTTTAAAATGGAAATTGTGACTGTCTTGTTTCCCTGTGCTGCTCCTGCCTAAGGCACTCTCTTGTCACTCTTTCTTAGAGGAAATGGGGAACAAATGTCCAATACTTCTCTGTCCATGTTTAGCAAGCCTGCTTGGCAGGGTTTAGGGTCTCCTGCAACATTCTAAATAGCCCAGAATGGCTTTACAGCCTGCAACACAAAGGTAATGTTTTTTTGATTAGGTTGTTTTTTGTATCTGTTAAATCCCTAGCACCTGGAATCAAGTAATTGCTTGGCAATTTTAACTTCCTTTCAAGTGTCTTTGATATTCTAGCCCCCTTCTCTGCTGCAAAGGAAACCTAGATATTTTCCCAGTAGCCCCAGCCAACTCAGCAAGCAGGAGGTGACTTCAGAACAGTGTTTTGGTGGCCTGATTCATTATTTTTGCAGTGTCTGAAGCTGGCAGTGCTGGCAGTCCTGGAATCCATATGTTGATAACTTGCCAGGCAGTGTCAGAATGGTTTGTGCGGACATAATGGGAAGCCTGCTAGTAGCACAGGTTCTGCTGAATTGTCCAGTATGTGTTTTCCACCTTTGACTTCCATTAAATTCCAGGAATAGCCTCCTGTGTTGGGGTTGCCTAGAAACCTGTGGAGATATACCTGAAAATTGGCTGTTGGTGCATTGAGTCTCGTGCAAGATGTGGGAGATGTTTTTGCTTGGAATGTGGCAATTAACACGTTGCCTGTTTCTGGAAGACAGAATCCTGGAAACTGGGTGTTGGGAAAGATGGAAATTAATCTGGTGGGAGAAAGGAGCCTGTATGTTACAACCTGTGTGTCACAACCATGGCACTCCTGCTGCCAAATGTGAATTAATTAGAAAGTTATGGTTTGGTATCTGGGATAAGTGTCAGAATAAGGGTTGGGTTTCTTTTCATGCCTTTTCTTCAAAATAATAATGCAGCCCCTCCCCACCCCCAATTTTATTAATTGTAATCATGCTGGTGTTTTATCTTTAAGTGGCTGCCTCGGGTTTCATTTCTTTTGCTCTTATTTTAAAACAAATGGGAGAAAGAGTGGAAAGGAAAAAGGAGCAACATCTGAGGGAAAGCTGCTTCTTAAACCTTGTCTTTACTTGCTGCTGTTTCTCATTCTGCTTAGCAGTGGGAAAGTATTTTCACTTCCCACCCCACTTCCCTCCCAAACCTTTATGTTTCCTCTGAGAAATTGTGTATGTGGGAAAGTTTAAACATGAAAGTCAAGGGATGATTTTATACCAAGGTTAAATTTTGTTTTACCTACCCATGTGAACACTGTTGTTTTGCTATAAGCATTTTTTTCCTTCCCAAGCTATGGTTTTCTTTTTCTCTTTAAAGTTCAGTTTATGACACTGCAAACTGATTAAACTGAGCTGGAAAAGATTGTACTAAAAGGACTCAAGCACTTACAGAGTTACAGCTACATATCTAGCAGATAAAGCTTTCCTGCTCAGACAAGCCCTCACTATTTCATCTTAGCTGTTTGTTGGATTTTTTTCCCTTGGGAGAGCTAAAAAATGAGGAGAAAGAATTTACTTCAATGATTTCACTTTCTAAAGCACCAACTTTTTGTCTTCCATTTCAGCTTCTTTGAAAATGAGGGAAATGGGTTAAATTCAAATTTATTTTTACATGAAAGACTGTATTTTCATAAACTTTGAAGTAATATTAAATTTTGGGCTTTTCAAAGTTATTAGTTATTTAATAATTTCTTTAAGGGAAAGATCACTAGGTTGGCCTGAATAAAGATGCTCTGTTGTAGGAAGGTTTTGTTTGTAGCACTGCTCTGTGGGAAGGGAGATGGGAGAAGGTGCTAGAGCTGCTCATAAAGGAGGTTTTTGCCTTTACACCTGTTAAATTCATTGTAAGACCTACAAACCTTTAAAACCCCATTAAAACTGCATCTCTCTCCAGCTGTTACCAACATGGGCTGTCACTTCAAAAGGGATTTTAAAAATCCTGTCAACTGAGACTACTCTGAGCTGTGCTGCATGGCAAAAAGAGCTATTGGCTGAACTCTTCTGGCAAAGTCTTTGTTGTTGTTTTGTTTTTTTTTGCCTTTTTTTGGTCAAATAGAGGAGTCTGAGCAGAGCTGAGGTTTCCACAAACCCCAGGGAAGGACAGAGGCTGGTGTGAAAGTTCCAACCGTGTGTGGTTTTTCAAAAGGGGGTGGGATATGTACCAAACAAGGAGTACAGGGCTTATAATGGCCAGGCTGACAGGACC